GCAGCTGTCAGCACCTCAGTTTTCTGTAAAGGAAGAAAAGACTTGACCCAAGGAGGGGGGTTATTAACTAAATCTCCCCAGACCACTATGTATGATATTTGATCTGAGTGTCCTACATGCAGTTGAAGACTAATTTTCTCACAATGACAGCAGGATCAAAGGTCCCCTCTGAGGGCCATCCCACGTTGAAAGTGGGCCATTCAGACCTGCAGAAAGTAGTTAGTTTATCCTTCCTGACAACAACAGAGAGGTTATGGGCTCTAGTCTTAACCTCTCCAAAATGTGCAAGAACCAGGTCCAGGGGTGTAGAGGGTGCCTGTCACATTGCGTCTGTCTCAGTTACAGAGAAATAGACAACCAAAGACAAAACAGAGCAAGAAAGACATGCAGAAGGCCAAGTAGCAAATTCTTCCGCTCATGTGGAAGAAAAACTGAAAGTAGGACAGCAGAGAACTGCTGCGCCGTGGAAGCAACCCACCTTGTCCTTTCACAGAAATCAACAGAGTCCGGGGCCCTCTGTCCCTGCTGCCGGGGTCTGGAACATCTTCCAGACCTCTGTGGTCACGGTCATCCAGCACATCTGCTTCAACTGCTCCTGACCACACTGTTCATAAGTTTGCCTTGAGGCTTAAAACAAAAGCTTGGACAGACACAGACAGGCACAACTAGATGCAAACAGACACTTACCGGCCGGCCAGGAACCCTTCGGTTCGGGGGTCCTCGAGGCAGGGTGGGGGTGGGGGGTCTTGGGGATCCCAGACGAGCCCCCAAGATGTTGTGCCCAGTTCACGAGACCCCAAAGACCACCAAGGAGCCGACCGATGCAAACATACAAGGGTTTTTTTTTTATTGTTGCAAGCTTAAGCTTGGGCCCACTCTGTCACCGACCCAGTGGATCTCAGATGTGAGACCCCTTGCTTTGGGAGACAGAGGTTTTTATAGGTTTATTTCAGCAAGTTCAGCAAGTAGGGGGTCTCCAGCCTGGCAAGCATCTGATTGGTTGCAGCCCAGTGCCGAACCATAAACTGCCGCCTTCCGGGAATCTGAAGAGATATCTGGACTTTTAGTACTTTCCTGTCCCTGGTTAATTGACCATTGGCAGGGGAGTTCTCTATCTGTTCCAAGTATACTTTTTTGTGTTTTTTCCTGGAACAGGGTTCAGGGCTGGGTCAGTCCCATGGAGGTTCTATCAAAGATAGAGTCACTCAGGTCTCTCAGTGCCTTCAGGAGGCAGAGGCAGATGGACCTCTGTGAGTTCAAGGTCAGCCAGTCTACATAGTGAGTTCCAGGATAGCCAGGGCTACATAGTAAGACCCTGAGTCAACCCCCCCCCAACAAACAAACAAAATCAACAAAACAACTCCCAGCCCCCAAAAAGAAATCTTTGGGGTTTGTTATCCCCAAGCCTCTGAACGTCTGTTTTTTATGATCTGAAGCTGAGGAGGATACAAAGACCCCTCATTGCTTCAGAAGTATGTGGTGCTATGTTTCAACATCATCATCAAAACTCAGGCAAAGTGAGCCTAAGTATTATTATAACATGGTGGTAGGTAAACAGATGCAGGGGTGTGAGTCAACATGCATGACCCTTGCTTTCTTTATTGACAGAATAGATACTATTGCCTCACAGATTTACTGTGAGGTCTTGAAACAACAAAGATAGTGTTGGCACCCAGTAGGTGTAGCATTGGCACCCAGTAGGTGTAGTGTAAATGAATTATAAATGTGGCCAACATGCATGAAGGGCTGCTGTATTTCAGGCTCTGTTCTAGTCTATACATGTGTTGATTTGTCTGTTGTTAATTATTATTAATGGATCAATTAATTCCCACAGCAGCCCTCTGAGGTGGGGATTATTCTTTTTAAAAATGGTTTCTTAAATTTATTTTTTCAAGAAAGGGTCTCAGTATGCAGCCCTGATTGGCCTGAAACGTGCTATGTAGACCAGGCTGGACTTGAACTCACAGAGATCCGTCTCCCTCTGCCTCTGGAGTGCTGGTATTAAAGGTATGTGCCACCATGCCTGGCCCCTTAAACATACTGTTTTGTTTTTTTTTTTAATTTATTTTTTTTTCCGGTCTTTTTGAAGCAGGATTTCCCTGTAGCCCCAGCTGTCCTGGAACTCACTATGTAGACCAGGCTGGCCTTGAACTCACAGAGATCCACCTGCCTCTGCCTCCCCAGTGCTGGGACTACAGGCGTGCGCTACCACGCCTGGCAACTTACTGTTTTTTTAAACATAACAGAAGGAACGTGTTAAAACTGGTGTAATAGCTCAGTAGAATTGGTATTCCAGATTTTGGGAGGGATAGAGAGGGAACTATTCAGAACCCTTCACCAAAATTCCCCCAACTTGATTGTAGTGTATTAATGAAGTGCTCTGTGGATGTGGTTAGTCAGTGACACCAGCTTGAGGAATCTTTCTTTCTGCACCAAATTCCACTGAGTTATATGGTCTCCTTGACTGATGAATCACCATTAGGTATCATCCAGGGTGATAGTCTTCAGGCAAGGAACCCTTGCAGACTCACCCAACATTATAGGCACTGAATTTGCCAGTGCACTGATTAAGAATCAAAGTTGGGATTATTCTTATTCTCATTTTGTAGACGGGCTAGAGGCCTTGGTTTTATCCACTGCAGTCCCTCTCTGATGTGAGCCACACTGGGTAGACTTCTCATCCTACAGCGTCATGGTGACAATGGATTCTTTTCCTGGAGTTGGCCTGTTTGTAAAGTCTTTGTGCATTCAGTGTACTAGAAGTGGGGTTTAAAAAAACTATTTTATTTATTATTTTTATTTTCTGTGTATGTGTGTATTGCCTGCATGTAGATAAGTGCACCCGTGTTGTGCAATGCCTGTGGAGGACAGAAGAGGCCGTCGGAGCCCCTGGAACTGGAGTTAGGACAGTTGTTAGCTGCCATGTGGGTGCTGGGTTTTGAACCCAGGTCTTCTGCAAGAACAACCAGTGTTCTTAACCGCTGAGCCATCTCTCCAGTCCCTAAAAGTGGGTTTTATTAATTCAAAAGTGGTGAAAACCCAATGGAAAATTAGGTGGAGCCAGCCATTTTAGAGAGCCCAGGGTAAATGAAAAAGATGGGGATCAGAGAATGCATTCACATCCTTGCTCTGCTATAGGCGGTGTGCTCTTGGGGCAAGGAAGTTAGTCTTTCACTTTTCTCATCTATAAGATGTCAAAAATAGAGATGTCAAGAGTTAGGAACATTTGAAATATACACAAGAATGAGATAGAGATCTGGTTAGATCTGGTTATCATTTTATTGCTGGTGAAACTGACTTGGGCATGAGGCCAAAATAAAGTTTCCCAGGACTTCCTCCCCTCTCTAGACTTTGCACTCCTCTCACAAGGAAGTTAAATGTGGCAGATTTCCTGGTTTCCTATTTGCCTTCACTCAGGTTTACCTAGTGCCTATAGACTGGGAAGGGGGTGAAAGCACCTGTCCTGTGTTTAGAATTCCCCCCTCCAAAAGAAAAAAGAGTGGGACTATGCGGGCAGGGGACAACAGCCAAATACTGTCCCTCTCACAAATTATATGGTTAGAAAGGCAGGTGGGAACTCTTCTAATTCTTTGGAAAGACTAGAAAGTTCCATTGCATAAATCAAGGTGGGAACACCAACAGAAGGAGAAAATGGCTGTTTCCATAAATGCAATCCATTCAGGAGGCACTGCTCGGGAAGTTCAATAAGGTGAGACATACACAGGGCACATCTAGGGTGTAGGGTTAGTACCCAACATGCTCTTCCTGTGATGCCCACAGGCAGACCGGTAGCTGATGTAAATACCAGTAAGGTGTTAGAATGCTGGTGTCAGCTAGTCAGTATATTTTTCTCTCAATGAAAAACCTAAAGGGAATCTGGTTGCCAGGGACTGTGTGCATGGGAACCAGGCACTATGATTATAAAGGATATTGAAGTCAGATTCTGGTCTTCTGTGTTGTATTAGCCCCTTTCCCATTGCTATAATAAAATGCTCAAAGCTGGAAAAGGAAAGGGGTTTCTTTAGCTAACAATTTAGGAGTATAAAAGTCTAAGATGGGGGCTGCTGCTCCATCATATTGCTCTCGGGTGAGAGCCACATGGTAGATGGCTTACTAGTGGAGTATGTAGGGAAGACTCCACATGTTAAGTAGGAAGAAGCAATGGCTGGGTCTAGGCTTATTCGTTTTATGATATCCCTCTTTCTTGGGAACTAACTTGCTCTTGAGACCAGCATTAATCATTTCTAAGAGCATCACCCCCAATGAACAATTATACCTTCCACTAGACCCTGCCTCTGAAAAAGGTTTCACTATCTCTTACTCTGGGAACAAAAAATTGGGAAATTTTGGGAGACATCCTTAAACCATAGCACAGTCCAAAGTAAGAACTTACCTAGCAAACTGAAAGGCCCCTTGCATCCATCCCTCTTGGGATTGGAGCATGTGCATCAGTTTTTTTTTTTTTTTTTTTGGTCTTTTTGAGACAAGATCTTCCTGTAGTCCCAGCTGGCCTGGAATTTATTACATAGATCAGGCTGGCCATGATCTCACAAAAATGTATCTGCCTCTGCTTCCCGAGCACTGGGGCTAAAGGTGTGAGTATATATATATATTTATCACAAAAATTTTTTAACCATTTTAAGTGCACAGTTCATTAGCATTAGGTACATTCACAGTATTACACAACCATCACCATTATCTGTATCCAAAACTTTTTATCACCCAAAATAGAGCCTCTGACCTTTAAGCAGTGGGTCCCATTCCTGTCAACCCCATCAACCTCTGGCTACTAGTTCTATGATTTGACTATTCTAGATATTTCCTAAAAGTAGATTCAGGCACTGCTATTTCACTTAACATACTGTTGTTGAGAGTCACCTGTGTTGTAGGATGTCTAAGTCTATGCTCATCACTCTTAGATTAAAACCTTTGATGGCCTCCACAAGGACCATTTTCTTCTGATCACATCCTTTGTCTTTTTTTCTTTTCAATGTTTTCAGAGCCTCCACTTCCAGAAGTAGAATTTTTCATAGTGCATGGAGGGCCTCTACCACGCCTCAGTCTGAGGAAAGCTAAGGAGAAAAATGGACCTATCAGGTGAGCAGGCGTCCTTTCTCCACAGTTGCCCAGTGAGTGCAGAGTTTGGGTGAGATTTCCCTTGGGTAGTTGGGGCTGTGCTTTGTTTCCTTGAGCACACACTGGGCTTTTCATCCCAGCAGCATCCTTCCAAATGAAGAGGGAGATTTCTAAGGGGCCAGAAATCTAGGCAGCTTAGTTCAAGCAATTAAGTGTGTTTCTTTGGTCATCGACCAACTTTGGTTGACAGCATCAGGCAGTGTCCCCTGCTTTTCCATATTCTGGTACATCCTTTAGTGATGGTAGGTCACTAGGCATCATTTCATTTCCCATAAACAGAAGATGTTTCTCTTTATGTCAGGCTGATCTTGGGCCATGTGTAGTGGTTTCTGAAAAGGTCATTTGGAAAATCTTTTTATGCATTTACGTATTGAGTTATAGGCAAGACACTGTGTAGTTAATAACCTGCTGGGACTCCAGATGGTATTAGAGTAGAATTAATTTACCTCTGTTGGAGGACTACATTTTGCTTAATTTTGCATTTTATTTGCAAAGGTCATAGGAGGATTAGGGAAGTTGAATTACTCCATTATTTTAGAGAGAAATGTTAAAATTGGCCTGGAGATGGGAGCACAGTCCAGGTCAAAGAGTAGCCAAGACAGTGTCTCTGGCCTTGACCCATGCGGCCTTATATCATTCCTAGCCCTTCAGTGTAATCATGTAAAAATAAATAAGAAATATTTTAAAAGCATGAAAAAGAAAGTCTGGAGATATCTGCATACCCATTTGTTGTAGAACTCAGGGTTGCTTTCATATTGGGTATAGTTTGTTCTGGGATGCATATTGCCTAAGCAGTTCTGTTTCTTGATTCCTGGTAAGTTACTGGAAAGTATCATAATTCTGTTGCTGTAAGAGGAACAGAAGTAATGACATCATTGCCTGTGTGAAGTTACAAAAGCAGATGTGATACTTAAGCCAAATAATTACATAAGGCGAAAAGAAAAGCCAAATGACAGCCTACCCTTGAGGCAATATATTGGCCAGTGCTTTCAAAACAGGAAGTGGAGACCCATGAGTCATCCAGGGAGGGTGGTGGGGAGAAGTCCTTGCAGAATGGTCAGGTGATCAGGTTCTACCGAAACTGCTTCCCTGTCACCAGGGCTGTTTACCAGAAGGTGAGTGATATGATTGCCCCAGCCCGGGTGCCTGGTTTGAGTTGGAATAGCAGCTTTGACAGGCCCAAGTCTGCTTTGAAACTTTTGTGTAAGCCCTGGCACAGGGAATATAATAGAGCAAGGGCCCTGGCATCAAATCTCCTTCCTTAGGTAGATGATTTAGCCTGTTGCCAGGCTCCCTTGAGGCTAACGTCTCCAACCCTTACCAGGTAACAAGAATCACTTGGCCTGTGTTATTTCCCAACTCTGTTTCTGGAGCCTTTGATTCATAGGTCTAGGTTGGGGCCTGGGAGTTTCTATACTTATCAGGCTAAATAGGGGACCACTTCCTGCCTTGCGAATGATGCCTGTCATGGGCAGTGTACAGAATCCAGTAGGTGCAGGTGAGCTGTGAACTTGCAGTTCATCACCACCACTTACATGGAAAGATCTGAAGGGTCTAAGAGCATGCTTATGGAGAGTATGGAGCTGCTACAACATTTACTTTCTTTTCTGTGGCCACGGTTCATAAGGCTGCCTTCACATCCCCCCAAAAGTTATTATACATATTCCTGATAGGCAGTGGCAGCTCAGTGAAAGTTTGTGTTGCTGGTGACTACTACCCTGCAGGTTTTACTTAATCTCTTTTGTACAAAGTTCTTTGCTGAAAGTTAGCCCAGACTTTGTGAAATCAGGGCCCCGAGGGTACCTAAGCATGGCTGGGAACCTGGTTGGTGGTTGGAAACTTTCCAAACATAACAGCTACTATATTACAGAAGCCTCCCTCTCTGTAACCCAGTGATTCATGAGCTCTAGGAAGCAGGAAATAGGGCATTAGAGATGTGGAGCAGGAAGTACAAAATTGGTGCTAAAATAGAATTATGTGGCCTAATGAGTTTTGGAAATCACCCTAATAATATTTGGTGCTGATGTGTGCTTCACTGAAAATTCAACTCAACCAACATTTATTAGGAGTTGATCATAGCCAGAAGACTCGTAGTATAGAAAAGTAAGTCTCTCAACCCCCTGATACCAACTTCAGAAGAAAGAGTAATGTTCAGACGGTTACTACAGCTGAGGCAGGCAAGAAGGGCTGCGCCATGGGAAAGAGAAGGGATGGCTTTTCTCCAGCATTTCCATTCTTCCCACTTGCCGGTTTTCTCTTTGGTGGATAAATAAGAAAATACATGACAAAATGACACTTGATGGTTACTGTGTTTCTGTGCCCACGTTTAGGGGACAGTTTTACCAGATCCATTTACCTTTCCGTCTGTTTCAGGATCTTGTCAGCCTGGATTAATTCATGGTCACTTTGAACTCCCCACTTCTTGTTGGTTTCTGGTAAACTTTGGTTTTAGCCTCTGACCTGCAGGGAATGTAAATCACATGAGTTCTGTTTTCAGTCACCACGTGATTGTCTGGAGTCTTTGTTCAGACTTAACACAGTCACTGTTGCAGGCTACTGGCCTTCATGTGACTGCCAAACCCTTCCCACTTCCAGGCTTTTCTTAACACATAAAAAACCGCTGATGAGATCCACCATATGACAGACACACGGACAGCAATACATGCAACAACTTCAACTAGGGAGGGTGTAGTTGGCCTCCCTCTGGTGCTGGAACTTGGCATTAACACTAGGTAAATTTGGAGGTCCATGACTGTGAAACTGCCGGACACTAAATCCCACGTGGGCCAGTACTTTTTCTTGTCTACTCTTGTGTCCCTAGTGCCTAGTGTATTGCACAGTAAGAGTTCATTAACCTGAATACATGGGTCCTCCAAGCAAAGGTGAGATAGGAGAATTTTATCAAATGCACCTCTGGTCAAGGGCCTGCAGATTAATGTTCTCCCTTCTTCGTCTGCTCTCTGCTAATTTCTCTGCCTTCTCTTTCCTTCCAGTTCGTATCAGGTGTTGGTGCTTCCCCTGTCTCTGCAAAGCACATTTTCTTGTGATTCTGAAGGCGTGACTTCATTCTTTGGCAACAGCTCTATTGCTGATGGATATGTGGCCGCAGAAGTACTGGCCAGCGATGTTGCAGATGATGCCATGGAGCTGCCTGTGGGAGACAGACTATACTATGGGAACTATTACAATGCACCTTTGAAAACAGGGAAAGATTATTGCATTATATTACGGATCACAAGTGAATGGAATAAGGTATAGTTCTTTAAAAGCTTTTGACAAAGACCTGTTTTCTTCTTTACATGAAATTTAAATATTTGAATATGCATTTCTTCAGTATTTGAGGTAGACACCACATGGAATAACCATCGAAATGTAGTTGTGACTCCTTCTTTGTGAATGCTTTGTCTTTCTAAATGAAGGGTAGGAGAGATCTATACAGATGGTAATCTGCACATCCTGGGGGACCTTATTGGGTCTGCATTTGGACTGATCTGGTTTGGGGTCTTCTCAGGCTTCATGAGTACCAGGATGCTACTGCATTGCTGAGTTGTGAGTATCTAGATCTGTCAGCTTCCCTTATGCTCTCCCAGGATGCTGCCTTCCCTCATTTTTCTGGGAGGAAAGAGTGGCAGACAAACAACACTGCCTTATTTCCTGCTGACATCACTTCCTTGCCTATACCATAGGCCCAGGCCTTCCACTCCATTCCTCAGAAAGGTTCATCTCTTCCATCAGTGTTTCTTTCATGAGATAGAAATGATTATTCATTAGATAATTAGCAAATATAATGATCTAGACAAGCAAAATGGTAAGAATCAATCAGTCAGGAGTAGAAGAGCCTAGTGATGGTCAACCTGAGCGAATCCTGAACTTGGTGTAAATACATATGGGTTGGTAATGGAAGCTAGAAGTATAAATACTAATAAATCATCTCTTGACCAATACATTTGAGGCAAAAATATGTAGCAATCTCAATTATAAAGTTTATCACATTTCAAACATCTATTAAATTCTGTATAGGACATTGACTTATTGATAGTAAACAAATGCTTTTTTTTTCTTTTAAGGACAGGGTCTCCCTGTACCCCCAGCTAGCCTAGAACTTACTATGTAGAACTGGCTGGCCTTAATCTCATAAAACTCTGCTTCCCTTTGCCTCCCAAGTACTAGGATTAAAGGCATGCATAGCCAGGCAGACTATGTACAAGCAGCAGAGGCCCAGGAATTTGTGACAAAGCAGGAATGCTTTGTGACAGTAATATAATAAAAAAGAATCAGGAAGTTTGGGACTGGAGAGATGGCTCAGCAGTTAAAGCCACTGACTACTCTTGCAGAGGACCTGGGTTCAGTTCCCAGCATCCACACGGTAACTTCAGTTCCAGGAGATTGGACACCCTTGTCTGACCTCTGTGGGAATTGCACACAAAGATGCATTTACATGCATGCAGGCAATACATGCACACACAGAAAAAAATTGGAAAGGTAAGCCCAGAATACCCCCACATCAGATTTTTAAAGCAGTAAGCACCCCATGGATGTGAGAATAACTCATTTTGGTTTTGCTTTGCACTTCTTTAGTGATTCATGATGTTCAGCATCTTTTTATGTGCTCACTGGCTGTTTCTTTTTTGGAGAAATGTCTATTCAAGTTCTTTACTCATTTCTCAATCAAATGTTTTTTTTTTTTGTTGTTGTTGCTTAGTTTCAGTGGTTATCTATTTTGGATATTAATCTCTGTTAGATGAAATTTGAAAAACTTTTCTTCCATTCTATGGGACCCCCTCCCCCCACTGTTGATACTGTCCTTTGATGCAGAAGTTTTTAATTTTGATGAAGTCCAATTTTTCTTTTTCTTTTTTTCTTTTGCTTCCTGGTCTGTTGGAGTCACAAGGAGCTAATGACATGAAACTTTCTATGTTGTCTTTTAGGAGTTTTGTAGATTATCCACTCTGAGTTTTTACATGTGGAAACCTATTTTTTAAAACAATTTTCCTAGAACTCCTTGTTGAAAGGCTATCTTGTCCCCATTGAGTTCTTGACACTTGATCTAGTTTTCTGCCCAGGTGATGTGATAAAATATCCTGACAAAAACAACTTCAAGGGAGAAAGGGCTTATATGATTTCTAATTCCAGGTTACAGTTCATCATTTCTGAGAAGAAACTTGACACAGCTAGTCACATCTACACCCACAATCGAGAGCAGAGAGGGAACAAATGCGTGCATGCATTCTACTCAGCCCATTTTCTATATTTTTATACAGTCTAGGACCCAGATCCAGGAAATGCTGTAGCCCATGATGACCCGAGTCTTCTACATCAAAATAATCAAGATAGTCCCTGCAGACATGCCTTCAGGTCAACCTGATCTTGACAACCCTTCATTGAGATTTTCTTCCTGGGTGATTGTAGATTGTATCAACTTGATAAAACTAAACCACCATAGCACTCCTCTCAAAACACATCTGACACATATGCAAGTTCATTGCTGGACTCTGGTCTGTTCCATTGACTTATATGTCTGCCTTTATGCCATTACCATACTGTCTAGTCACTATGGCTTCTTAGTATATTTGGAAATTAGCAAGTATGAATCTTCCAACTCCTCCATTTTCTTTTTCCTTCTGCGCATTTGTTCTAATAAATGGCACCATTATACCTTGTAACTAAGGGAGGAAGGCAGGACTAACTAGTCACCTTCCTTTTTCTTACCTTCTTGTGCATTCTGTCAGCAAATCCTGTCAGTTCTATCACCTTAATGTTGCTTAAAAATCATTCTTTCCTTTTTAAAGCCAACATTGTTCCTCTTTTGCCATCTTCTCTCTGAACATCAGTTTTCTAGTTCATTTCTTGTCTCTTATTTTTATCCATCTATTTGCTCCAACTACTGCCTGGATGAGTTTTGTAAAATGCACATCTGATCCAGGCACTCCAGTTTAATGACCTTCCTTCTTTACCTGGCCCCTGTCAAAGCCTCTTTTAATACTCTCAGTTCCCTAGTAAACTCCTTGCTATTGGAGACTCTTTGCTTCTCCATTGTCTTGAAATATACATTTCTCTATTCCTAATCTCCAAACAGCTCCAAGGAAAAATGTAGTCACATTCAAAGCCTATGGCTATTTAAAATTTTCTCCAGAATTTTTAAGTTCAAATATATATATTTTTAATGTTTTAAGAGGGGCTGGAGAGATTGCTCAGCGGTTAAGAGCACAGACTGCTCTTGCAGAGGACCCAGCTTCAATTCCCAGCACCCACATGGGAGCTACGAACCGTCCTTGACTCCAGTTCCAAGGGAATCTGACGCCCTCTTCTGACCTCATACACATAAAATACACTCATACACATAAAATAAAAATAATAAATATAAAAAATGTTTTGAGAATGAAAGCCACAGTGTCCAAGTGTGTCACTTGAGAGTCTCATGAGGTGGAAGCATCCTTCTCTAACCCTTCCCCTGAGGAAGATTACACAGAATCCTTAGTCATATACAGTAATCCCAGCAGTCTCAATTGACAAATATGGGTATAATCATGATGGCAGAAGAGGAGGTGATGCATTCCAGTGCACTGGTAGTTTCCATGCCTCTTCCTGTGGGTTCCTTCCTGGTTCTTGGATACATTTTTGGTAACTGAAGTTTCATCCAGATAGATGAAATATTATTATATATCAGGACTTCTCACAGCATTCTCTGTAACACGTATCACTACTTTTTTGCTGAACCTAAATGTGTTCTTAGAATTTTCTTTTTTTTTGAGACAGGGTCTTCCTGTAGCCCCAGCTGACTTGGAACTTGCTATGTAGACCAGGCTGGTCTTGCTCTCACAGAGATCTATCTCCCAAATGCTAGGATTAAAGGTGTGCATCACCATGCCCGGCAGTTTGATTTATTTTTATTTTATATGTATGAGTGTTTGCCTCCATGTATGTAAGTGCACCCATGCATACGAATGCCTCTGGAGACCAGAGAGGGCATTGGATCCCTTGGAACTCGAGTTATAGAGGTTGTTAACCACCAGGTGGGTGCTGGGAACCAAACCCCGGTCCCCTGCAAGAGCTTTTAACCACCTAGCCATCTCTCCAGCCCCCAGAATGTTTTCAGCATAGTTCTCCAAGCAGTCCATGCCAGTTGCTCAGAGCTGGAAGGAGGAATGACGCTCTTACCAGTCTGTTTACTCAGTGTGTGTGTTCTGAGATCTGTTGGAAACTGTTGGATGTGATGTTGAGGCTGCTTCTTTACCTGTTTATATGCCTTTGAACACTGGTGATAGAAGGCTGACTCATAAAATAAAAGAGCTAGGTTTGCAAATTAGCTCAGTGGTAGAGCACTTGATATGCATATATGAGGACTTGTGTTTAATCCCCATCCAAACACACATACACACACACACACACACACACACAGAGAGAGAGAGAGAGAGAGAGAGAGAGAGAGAGAGAGACTGAGACTATAAAAGCTAGATGGGACTTTAATGATTTTCTAATTCAAATTAGGGTATGAAAAGGCTGAGGAGACTCAGAAGGCTTTAGTGTCTGCACTATATTGTTTAAAGTGATGCTCTATGCTACTTAGTCAAATGTACTTCTGTTTTCTTTTACAGGTGAGAAGATATTCCTGTGCAGTTTGGGCTCAGGTAAAAGGTAAAACCATTTTTTCTCTATGCATGCTCTCTTTACTTCTCCCTTGTTTAATCTGTGGCATCGATTGTATGTTGAGGTCTCTTTTTAAATTGTCACAAGTGACAGAAACCCAAATCAGGCTGTCTTCAGCAAAGTGTAATCATTCTCATACATAGTATATGACATATTTAAGCATACAGCATAGTTGAAGATCTTTGTTTGGGAACTTATGGGATGATATACAGAGCTGGGCCTCCAGGCTTCCAGGCAGTTAGACTTGGACTCAACACCATGACTGGGCACCTTCTTTTCTATTTGTCTCTTGTCTCTGCTCTCTGTGTCAGTTGGCCTCATTTTTTCCTACCCCAGGCCATATGATAGGAGAGATAGGCCCCAGATGAGCAACAGAAAATTTTACAATCCAGGGAAGGAGTCTTCCTCCTAGGTTAAGTGACTACCCATTGGTTGAGTCACAGTGGATATGAAATGGGGAGCTCTGATTGGTCTGTCTTGGGTTGTGTGTTTATGGCTTGTGGGCAGAGCAGTAGACCATCTGCTGCCCCAGAGTTGTATCGAGAAGGGGTAAGATTCTTATCAAGTTTAAGGGCATTGGAAAGCTCACTTATAGACCAAAATAAGGACTAAAGCAGCCGGCAACCTACCATTTGAGTGCACAGCATGTAAACACACACACACACACACACACACACACACACACACACACACGCACCACATAATGGCAATTCAATCAAATGATGGACCATAGGTACGGTGGTGGTCACATAAGATTGTATCTCCTAGAGCTGGACATGGAGTCCCATGCCTCTATCTTAGCACTTGGGGCAGAGGCAGGAGGATGGTGAGTTTGAGGCCAGCCTGGGATCCATAGTAAGACCTTGTGTAAAAGAAAAAGGGTTAGGGCCGGGCGTGGTGGCGCACACCTTTAATCCCAGCACTCGGGAGGCAGAGGCAGGTGGATCTCTGTGAGTTCAAGGCCAGCCTGGTCTACATAGTGAGTTCCAGGACAGCTGGGGCTACAGGGAGACCCTGTCTCAAAAAGACCAAAAAAAAAAGAACAAGGGTTCATATCAGCTAGAGACACTGTAGCCATGTTACTATGTTTAAGAACTTCTGTGATATTTGCACAATGACAAAATTGCCTGCTGACACATTGCTCAGAATTATCTCCATCATTAAATGATGCATAATTGTAATATTAAGAAAAAGAACAGGGGTTGGAGAGATAGCTCAGCGGTTAAGAACACTGGCTGTTCTTAAAGAAGACCCAGGTTCAAATCCCGGCACCCATGTGGCAGCTGACAACTGTCTGTTAACTCCAGTTCCAGGGGATCAGAGAGCCTTTTCTGTCCTCCGCGGGCATTACACGACACGGGTGCACTTATCTACTTGGAGGCAATATACGTATATATACACAAAATTAAAAAAATTAAAAAAAAAGAAAAAGATCATCTGTTAACAAAATGGAATGATTGTAGGGGAAGACAGTTCAAAGGCTAGTTATTGCATCCAGCCCCAAGAGGAAAGTTGTGTTTTTCCTAATCAGATCCAGATGTGTTTCTTGCAGTCCATCCAGCACCTAGGACTATGTGGAAATTGTAACCATTCTCAAACCACAAAATATGGCATCAAACAGTAAACTGACACCATCATTCAGGAAGGAGGTCAGGGGGCCCATGACAGTAACCACTTCTGCTGGACATGTAAAGCAAGCCTCCAGTGTCCTGGCAGCAGCACAGGGCATGAGGTCAGTCAGGCTCCTGCCTTGAGTGTGTGATGGGACAGTAGTCCTGGTTCATTTCCTTCAGAAGTTTTTCTTCTTGCTGGTGGTGTGCAGCTCATGCCTTCCCCTTTCCCTGGGTGGAGTTATCCAGGGGAGAAGCTGCCTCTGGAATTGAGCAATCACAGATCCTTATTTGTCAGACTAGGGACTTCCCTGGTAGTGCCTTGCTTAAAAACCAACAGGCAGCTAGCCAGCGGATTTGATTCCCAGGAATTCCATTAGTTTGTAGCTAATACCAAAAACCTTGCTGACCTTTGAGTCTGGACCTTTTCCTTGCGGCTTATAAATCCTCAATTCTGTGCTTGCTTGGCCCACACTGTCACTTTAACCTGTTATATCCTGTTCCTACATCAAAGCCACAGGAGACAATAGGCTGTCTCCTGGTGAGGAAGCACTGGCACAGCCGCTTTCAGACGCCAGTGGATGGAACTTTACAGTGGACAGTCTGTTATCCTGTCAGTGGAGGGGACTTAGCAGGAAATGTTTAGGAGGGGCTTGGGGATGAGGCTTCCTCCATCTGTCTGCGTCTCCCCTGATCTTATTGTCCATCTTTTTGTCTCTATTCGAAGTTACTTTACCAAGGATTGAGAATTATATGTTGGCTTTTCTGAATCGTTTGCTCTCTTAACAGAGGCATGTGCTGTTTTGTTTCTGTGTGGATGGGGCCAAGCTCCCTTTCCTGAAGCAGTTTAATGAAGAATGCATGAGATAACAGTACTAATTAAAGATGAAATCAGGATATTGAGAGGGAGTGGCGGGAACATGGAGGAGTTGGAGGGGCAGAGGAAGGCATGGAAATGATGTAAATATAGCACTTGTGTATAAAATTCTCAAAAAATGGAAAATTTAAATTAGCCAGGCATGGTGGCACATGCCGTTAATCCCAGCACTCGGGAAGCAGAGGCAGAGGCATCTGTGAGGTGAAGGCCAGCCTGGTCTACATAGTGAATTCCAGGCCAGCTAGGGTCAGAGGGAGACCCTGTCTCAAAAAACCAAAAAGAAGGCTGGGCGTGGTGGTGCATGCCTTTAATCCCAGCATTTGGGAGGCAGAGGCAGGCAGATCTTTGTGAGTTTGAGGCCAGCCTGGTCTACATAGTGAGTTCTAGGACAGCTGGGGCTACAAGGAGACCCTGTCTCAAAAAAGACCAAAAAAAAAAAAAAAAATCCAAAAAGAAAAATTTAAAAATTTAAATTAGAAAATGAAGGATACGTGGAACAATCACGCAGTCCAACATTCAAAATGCTTTTTGCCAGTCCACTTCCTAAAGCCCTGGGGATGGGAATAGAGTTCTCACAAGAAGAGTAGCTTTTATGGAAGAATTAAGATGCACAAACCTTCAGACACAGACAACAATACCTTCCAGAATTCACCCCCCCTTCAGCAACTGTTTGATATGATCAGAAAACATTGAAACCAGGCAGAAGAAACAGCCCACGAGCTGGCTGTAGTTGCTCTGCTGTGATCTATAGGGTAGATTTTGCTTTGAGCATATCTGAGTAGCTTTTGCCCATGCCCTTCTTTCCCTCTTCAGCTTAAGAATCAATACTGAAAGGGAATTTCAGCCTTCCAGTTCAAACCACTGGAAAGCTCTGAAAGAGAAACACCGCTGTGTTGAAATTCTATAGGCAATCCTAGTACAAGTTTATCTCTCTTAAAATTTACCCTTCTGTGCCATCATTTTTAGAAGTCTTTTTTTTCTCCCCCCAAAATGTGGAGGCTTTCATTTCAGAAGGTCATTTGGATAGAAGTGGGATCCGGGTTAGTTTTGAAATTGTTTCAGTTCCCTGATGCCAAGCCTCAGCCCTATTCTGTTTTTGCCTAGGGCTGAGTTCTACGTTTACCTTTCGTACAGTACCCCCCCCATAAGAGTTTTATGATGATAACCAAGGACTAGCAGTTCATATGATGGCAAACACAGAGATCTGGGCTTCCTTACCTCAGTCAAGTTACTAATCAGACAGTGTCTTTGAAATGGCATTTAACCTGCCTAGTTCTTAGTTGCCTCTGCCTGGGTCTTCTGAGATTCCTTCTAGCCACAAAGTACTGTGAGTCTGTGATTTCCTGAGTCATCAAGATGATGGCAAGCTATAATCAGGGAACATTCTCCAGTCACAGGCATGAAACCTGAGACGTTGGTGACTAGTCCTCATTCTCTTTCAGCTGACAAGTTGCTCTGGCTTTTATTTCTGTGTTCAGGCTTTCATACAGAGCACGGGTGACTGCCAGCAAAATCTCCTTGTTCATCTCCTATCACAAGAGTTCAGGTTTTCCCTCTTCATCCAGCTCACATGCTACCACCTGACTAATATATCTGAGCTGCAGTACTAATTTTATTATTTCCTTTGATAGCTCTTCTAGGATTTTCCATTGTGTTCCAGCTCTTCTAGTATTTTCCATTGTGTTCAGTTTGACACTAACTACCCTCTGATTACTTCTCTCCTCCTTATCCATCCAGACTGGTGTCTAAGCTATTTCTTTTTCTTTTGGTCTTTTTTGGATCAGGTATCCCTATAGCCCCAGCTGGCCTGGAACTTACTATATAGACCAGGCTGGCCTCGAACTCACAGAGATCCACCTGCTTCTGCCTCCAAGTGCTGGGATTAAAGGTGACTGTCACCATGCGGGGCTCCCAAGCTATGTCTTAATGAAGCCCAAGTTTTCTCTCTGTTATGTCTTTGCTTAGATGTCTTGAATGCTGCCATTTGCATTGCCCTATAGACTACCTGTGACTCACTGCTTGTTACAATCCACCTGTTCAAGATCAAAACAAACTCCCTCTTCTTTGAAGCTTTTCAAATTTCCTCACAGTCACATGTTCCTCTCTCCTTTTCTTTAGTTCTTCTCCCATACTGTCCAGCAACTGTCTTTTTTCTACTAGGTTTCAAACACTTAGGGCTGCTGCCTGGCACGCATTAGCTGCTCACTCACAATGCATTGGATCTGGGTGAGTGAGTGCCATGCAGCCAGCCGGCAGTTTTTTTTTCTTTTGTTTTTTTTAAATGATACATTATGTATTGCTGCACATAATTCATCACATACATTAAGCATACAATTTCCTATGGGCAATAACAAATGTGATTTATAAGTCATAAATTTGTGGGAAGTCTATTTTTTATTCTCTTTCTCTTTTTAAATCCTAACTAGTTTATTGGGCAGAGCACAGGGTGGGGGTTTATTTACAGAAGAGTGGGCACCTCCCCATTTACCAGCTGGCAGTTT